TCTGCCATGTTTCCCTCCAGGGCTGGAGGCAAACCATGATGTTTACTTGGCAGCGCCTCCATCGAGCATTTCCCAGCACTGTCAGGCACAGTGGGAGCTGGGGCAGTTTTAAGCAGCCTTTAAAGCTTCTCTACTTCACACCAGGAAAGTGGGCTAAGGCAGAACATCAGCACCTTAATGGTACGCCCCACCAGGAAGGTGCTCAGTGCTGCTCTGGTGCTCAGTGCATCTCTGAAAGCCCTGAAACAGCCCCAGCAGTAAAAAAGCTGAGCAGAAGCAGTACCCCATTGGCAAACACTTCAAACAACATCCTAGTAATTTAAATGTAGTAACTGGTCTCTGTCTCATGCATTTAACTTCTCTCTAACCAGCAGTCATTGCCAAGGCTGAACATCAGCCAGATCTCCAACAACCCCTCTTTGGTTCAGAGCCCCACTTGTCTGAATATATCCCCTTGTTTCCACATACCTGGTGTTTCTTATCCGCCGTGGGAGACGATCTGGAGCGGATATGTACAGGGACTCTCTGATTGTCGTACCTATCGAGCAAGTCTTCCACAGACACCGATTTCCCCGATTTCCTGGTGCTGGGGGGTGCTTCAAAGACCTGCTCCTGCTTCCCGTAGCGAGGTTGGCCCTGCGCGCCCAGCGGGTCTGTCTGTGTGCCCTTGCTGAGCTCCGTTTTGGCTCTGTAATCCCAGCACCTGTCCGTTTTCGGTCGGCTCGTGAGCAAGCTGTCCTGGCGCCCTTTCTTCTTCTCATCCCCACTGACGTCGAAGCAGCCCATCAGTCCGGGAGGGAGGGTAGCAGATATCCGCCCCGTCCTGGATATCCTCTCTACCGACTCTCTGCGGCGGTACAGGTTCTGGTCCTGGAGGGAATTCATGCTGGAGGCGGAGGAAAGGCTCTGGCTGTCGGGGCCGCCTGCCTGCAGGTAGGAGCTGTGGGAGCGCTCCCTCAGCAGCCCCAGGTCCTGCGAGGACGGCCGGCGCCCCGTTTTGCGCTGGATGTAGTCGGCGAGGGCGCTCTGCTGGAGCTGCTTGAGCTCCGGCTTGGAGAGGCTGGCCGTGGAGGAGGTCTTACCTTCCTTTTCGAAGATCTTACGCCGGTCAGCCACCGTATTCTCTGGGAAGATGAAATGGAGCCCTTTCTTCTGGAAGGAGAAAGGCGATGGCTCCCCATCGGAGATGCCCACCTCGTTCATCTTCTCCGGCTCCGAGTACGACCGCTTCTTCTGCTCTGCCGTCAGCCGCTTTCGGCCCCCGATGCGCGAGATGTGCTGCGTCTTGGCGTAGTCCGGGGCGGAGGGGCTGCTTTCTGTCGGCGTCACGCTGTGCCGCTCCTTCGGCGTGTGGGGAGATGCTGCCGTGCTCCTCAGGCCCACGTGGGCTGAGGCAGGCCTCTGGGTCGTCCTCCTGGGCGTGTTCCCAAACGGGGGGCTGATGCGCCGGAAAGAAGTGGCCCTCAGCACCCGGGACTGAGCATCTTTGATGCTGTTCCTGTAGGCCCTGTTGAATGGGGTGTCCAGCTGCGACCCATGGGCATCCTGGACGTGATCCTTCCAGAGGAGCTCCTTCTCAGGCTCCCCTCCCAGCTGGAACGTGCTTTTACTCCTCGGTAGCTGAGCTGCCCTTATTTGCACCTCATTTTCAGGACACAAGCTGTAATATTCGCTGGGTCTTGCCTGCTTCGCCGAAGCCACCATCTGCAGCTCCACAGGGCGCCAGTCAGCCTCTTCCAGCTTCCCGTTCCTGACGGAGGGGCTGGAGACCCTGCCTGGCTCAGGGTGCTGCTTGCCCCGTGTGTCCTCCATGCTGTTCAGAGAGCACCTTGTGCTGGAGGGCTGGCTCGTCCTGCTGGGCCCGTAGTGCTGGCCGAAACTGGGAACCCCAGCGCTCTGGGGCCGGTGAGTGCTTTGCTCTCGCTGCTCAAACTTTGTGACCTTCTCCAGCACCGAGCAGCGGGGTTTGCTGGGGTCTGGTTTGCCGGAGGGAAAGCTTTGGGTGCTGCTAGAGCTGAGCCTGCTCCTCCCAAAATCAGAGGTCTTTGGGTGCTGTGGAGAGGGGGGATCTTCGCTCTTTGGTTCGGCAGCATGGAATGGGCCCACGTTCATGTCCTCCTCCTCCTGCCTCCCAAAAGCCTGGGGGTCTACCCCACTCCACTGCTTGGGCCCCTGCCCCCTGTGGTCCTTCTCCTCTTTGCCGCTGCTGTTCAAGAAGGACAGTTTGGTGCTGGAATAACCCTCACCTGGTGGCATCTCCTTAAGCTCGGAGCTGCTTTGCCTCCTGGAGCTCTCTGGGATGTTCTGCAAGGAGGAGAAGCCGTACTGCTTGGTTGTGCCATGGCCCCACTGGTGATGAGCAGCAGCGTCTCTCTCATTTATCTGTGCATTACCGTTTTTATCCTCCTGGGATTTGGCTGTCCAGTCCTCTTTGGGCTGGTAATGGGTTCTTCTCTCACTGGCATCCCTCGGCTGCGGCTGTGGAGCTTGAAAACTGTGTTTGGAGGCCTGTGTGGTACTTGCGGTCTCTCGGTTGCTGTGTGCTACCTTGTAAGGGGGTAACAACTCCTCCTTTCTTGCCGTAGTCAGGCAGACTTCTGGGCTTGCCGTGCTAGAAGGTTTTTGGTGGAGAAGCTTTGCTGCAGCATCGTGCTTTCTCTCAGCAGCTGGGGGCTGGTAGAAGATGGTTGATCTGTTTGCAGTGCTTTGGCTTCCGTTCTCATCAAAGCCCAGGGTGCTGCTGGCTACGGCCTTGTCGTAGGAGACTGGGAGAGGTGGAGAGTACCCACTTTCTTTGGCCAGGGCTGGATAAAGTGTCCCATTATTGCTCGCAGAAGGCTGGGGCACCTGGGCGTAGTGCGGCTCTGGGGAAGGTACTGGGTAGACACCAGTAGGGAGCAGGGGCTGTCCCGGCTGGGCTGACTGGGAATAGCTCTGCTTGGGCTTCACAGTGGGGCTGCTCTCCGGGCTCTTCTCCACCACGGTGTGCAGATGTCCTTCCCCAAAGGGGGTTTTCAGCAGCGGCCCCTGCGGGAGGGTGCTGACCAGCAGAGGCCAAGCTCCTTTTGGCTGGGTTCGACCAAGCTTGTTCAGATCAAGGCCGGCGCACGAGCTGGGCCTCTCGTGATGCCTGATGGCTGCGTAGCTGTCGCTGCGAGCAGGAGGCAACGGAGGTCCCTTGGAGGACTGGCTCTTGCTGTCTGAGGAGCCTTGGCCTGGCTGTGCCCAGGAGGGAGCTGCGTTGTGCCGGGTGAAGCCGTGGAGCCTGCTGTGGCTGCGACCGTCCAGCGAGGCCTGCGCCTCGCAGCTCGGAAGCAAAGCAGAGGACTTCACCTCGTACTCCTTGGAGATTCCTCGCTGGGCGTCGTAGACAGTCTTGACGTACCTGATGTCAGCTTGCCTCATCCCCTCCTGCAGGCCGCCTCGGGAGTGCGTGCTGTCCGTGGAGCAGGAGTGCTCCTTGCTGAACAGAGGAGCGGGGTACTCGGGGATGCTGGAGTTGGTGGAGAAGGAGCTGTAGGCAGAGTCTCTCTTGCTGTGGAGGTGGGAGAGCTGGTCGATGCTGTTGGTGGATTTGGCCGGGGACAGGTGACAAGGGTGGTAGCCGGGGGAGGAGTGGTCCAAGCTCTCCATGCTGCCCCGGGAACTGTACTGGTCGGGACTTCTCCTCAGATAGCCATGCTCGTAGGCAGAGAGATCGC